CAAGATATAAGTTTTGTAATTCGGATTTTTGAATAACGTTATTCTCGGATACGTATGTCACGGGTTAAAACAAAAGAAATACACAACTAAATAATATATTTGGTTAATCATTTTAATTTGAACATTTTACCCGTTATGTTTTAACACGATATGATACAACAAGAAATTTACATTCTTATATATTTCATTATGTTTTGCTTTTTTTTAGTAAATTGAAATTCAAAATTATCTACGCTCAGAAGAGAAAGGTTGAAATAGAAATTTGAAATTAACATCCGAGTTATTAAAATTCTGTCAAAACAATTTACCCAGATTTCGAATTGGACCGACGATTGCAATTAGAAAGTGAAAAAAAGTCAAGTACTTTAGTATACAGTAATGTCATACTACGTACTGTATGACTTCATCTGAAACAGGTTAGGCAAACGCATATTTTGAAATTAGTAATCCGGTGCTTTTTGCTAATGTAAAAGTATGAATTGAACATATCTATCGTTCATAAGAAGTATGGAATTAGGGCATGTGTGTTTATCTTTTTTAATACAATCAACACACGTTCAAGATTTACAGGTACCCAAAACATAAATAAATAACCCATTTATTTAAGGTTAAACTTTAACATTACTTTTGCAATTAACTGTGTAAAAAACGCATGTCTTGTATATTGCAGTTTTGTATTAGAGGACGAGTATTTTAACGAGTAACAAGCCGTATAAAAACAGAAGCACATGCTTCAGGTTTCCTTTTAATAACCTATTTGCAAGCTTTGAGGTATCAAAGATATTTTATATTAAATTATTACATTAAAGTATAGACGCATATGGTTCATTATTTTTGTGCCGTTATGATTAAATAGGTAAAATACTCAAACAACCAGATATTTAGTCGATATATCATCAGATAACACAATGTGAAAAAGGTTTGAAAAAATAAGACAGTTACCACCTTAAAGATATAAAATATCAGTCTGTAAATAATTCTTGTACTTAAGGTAAGATCCCTGTAATGGAATCGGGTTTTTCCGTGCCATGTCGGCTTTCTACGTAACTTATCGGCACATCCGTTACCTCTCGCCCGTTTCCGTAAACAGATTATTTTTTATTTCTAAATGAATAAATTATCCGTATATTTATATCCAATACAAATAGAAATTTAGTTTTTGATAAAATGAAAATGAAATTATCAAAAAGTATATGTTGTTTGTAAACGGATAATTCGTAAAAACCCCGTTGCTGTGAAACCAGGTTGGGAAACCCCTATATGACGTCACGATCCGCAGAAGTGAAAATGAAAGTAAGAGACAGAAAAGGCCGTTACAAGGCCAAAAACAAACGCAAGTTGAGAAAACTCAAAAGAACCTAATATTCTTGTGGATCATAATAAGCCTCACGTATTGAGCATTTGTAAGTGCAGAATTGGTAATTGTCCAATTTATGAACACCGACAGAAGGGATCGGCAGGTGGGTGGAGAACACGGGTGATTGAGTTCGACGATTTAGTTAGAAATTTAGCTCACTGCAAGGAATGTCGTCTTGGACCTTTATTCTCACAAGCGACAACATTGTTGGGGAGCTGCAAATGGCTTGGGTGGCTATCTGTACGTTATGTGTTCGAATTTAGAGTGAGGAGCTGTAAATTTGGTTTCATATGGAACAACACACCACAACAAAACGAAGGGGATGTCCTGCTTTGAAATAAGGAAGTGGCTAGCCGTACGGGCCCGTACGGCTAGCCAAAAGTTCTAGCCGTACGTGAGTCACGTACGGCTAGCCTGGACAAACTGTATTGGCTAGCCGTACGGCACTTTTCAAAAATATATGGAAGTCGAAATGCATATTTTATTTTGTGTCTTTAAACGACGATTTTAATCAAATCTCCGCATTTGTCCTAGTTTGTTCACTTCAATAAAGATGCTCCGCAATTTTGCAAAAAAAATGAATACGAGTAAGCGTTGTATAATCTAGCTTAATAAAATTAACGTCCTTAATGTTCATGCTTATGATTTGTATGAAAGATGAATTGTTAAATCTGTTAAGCACATGGATCGAATAAATAATGATCGGAGGGGAATGAATAAATACATGTAAATAAAAAAAGAATATTAAAAAAACAGTGAAAAAGAAAAATAATTTAATAATGCAAACTTTCCTTAATGATGGACGATGGACAAACTTCTATACCGACGGTAATTGACGCAATTATCAGAGCCCAACAACAATTATTTTCGGTGTTTTTTGTTGTTTTTTTTTCAATTTAAAAAGTTAAACTTAATGGAACAAAAAAAGGATTATCATCAAAATTTTGTAAACTATTTCAATTGATGTTATTTAACTGCAACCAAACGCTATTTTTTCTCGACGTCTTGAGATAACGAAGTACATTCTTTACTGTAGCCAACGCGTCGATTAATCTCTAAAAAGTAAACATTCTTGTCTAAAATTCTCGCTTTAAGTCATAATTAACATATGCACTTTCGCCTTCCATATATTTTTGAAAAGTGCCGTACGGCTAGCCAATACAGTGGGTCCTGGCTAGTCGTACGTGACTCCGGGGAAAGACTTTTGGCTACCTCCCGTAGGCTAGCCACTTTTTTGAAATAAACAAAAAACTTTGATTTGGTAATTTTATTTTTATTTGAAACAAATTTTTAGATTTTTTTAGAAAACTTTAATACCAGCCCGGGCACTGATAATGAAAAAGTTTTGGGGGCCCGTGTCGGAAAAACCCCAATAAGGGGTTACCGCATGGATCCCAGACCAGCCTGCGCATCCGCACAGTCTGATCAGGATCCATGCTGTTCGCTTACAACCCCTATAAAAAGTAGATCATACTGCGCGGATGCGCAGGCCGGTCTAGATCCCCCTACACAGGAACTCTCATTGACCAGATAGAGTCAGTCCAGAGAAGGGCTGCTAGGTTGGTCAAACATGACTTTGGCCGTATGTCAAGTGTCACTGACATGTTGACTTCCCTTCAATGGAGGGGCCTTGACCTTCGGCGTATTGACCAACGCCTGGTCATGTTTCACAACAACCGGCATGACCAGGTGGCTATTCCTTTCCCAAAGTATATCGTCCCTCTTACAAGATCATCTAGAACATCCCATCTCCATGCATTCCAACAAGTCCAAACTAAAACTGATTACTATAAATATTAATTTTTCCGAAGAACAATTGTCCACTGGAATGCTTTACCACCTGAAATCATAAACTTGTCTGGCCCCGAGTTCAGTCTGGCTGTAAGCCGGATTGAACATACGTCTCCCTAAAATACCTTTTCTGTTTTTAACCTGTTTTTAACAATATACTCATTTCCTTTACTTTTATATTCTTTTATTTCAGCTCTTTTACTAACATTCTTGTCAGTTGACGCGCGTCAAGTCTAGGTCCCCAGCAGGGGTTTGACTATATGGAAGATAGATAGATAGATAGATAGATAGATAGATAGATAGATAGATAGATAGATAGATAGATAGATAGATAGATAGATAGATAGATAGATAGATAGATAGATAGATAGATAGATAGATAGATAGATAGATAGATATGATAGATAGATAGATAGATAGATAGATAGATAGATAGAATAGATAGATAGATAGATAGATAGATAGATAGATAGATAGATAGATAGATAGATAGATAGATAGATAGAGATAGTAGATAGATAGATAGATAGATAGATAGATAGATAGATAGATAGATAGATAGATAGATAGATAGATAGATAGATAGATAGATAGATAGATAGATAGTAGATAGATAGATAGATAGATAGATAGATAGATAGATAGATAGATAGATAGATAGATAGATAGATAGATAGATAGATAGATAGATAGATAGATAGATAGATAGATAGATAGATAGATAGATAGATAGATAGATAGATAGATAGATAGATAGATAGATAGATAGATAGATAGATAGATAGATAGATAGATAGATAGATAGATAGATAGATAGATAGATAGATAGATAGATAGATAGATAGATAGATAGATAGATAGATAGATAGATAGATAGATAGATAGATAGATAGATAGATAGATAGATAGATAGATAGATAGATAGATAGATAGATAGATAGATAGATAGATAGATAGATAGATAGATAGATAGATAGATAGATAGATAGATAGATAGATAGATAGATAGATAGATAGATAGATAGATAGATAGATAGATAGATAGATAGATAGATAGATAGATAGATAGATAGATAGATAGATAGATAGATAGATAGATAGATAGATAGATAGATAGATAGATAGATAGATAGATAGATAGATAGATAATAGATAGATAGATAGATAGATAGATAGATAGATAGATAGATAGATAGATAGATAGATAGATAGATAGATAGATAGATAGATAGATAGATAGATAGATAGATAGATAGATAGATAGATAGATAGATAGATAGATAGATAGATAGATAGATAGATAGATAGATAGATAGATAGATAGATAGATAGATAGATAGATAGATAGATAGATAGATAGATAGATAGATAGATAGATAGATAGATAGATAGATAGATAGATAGATAGATAGATAGATAGATAGATAGATATAGATAGATAGATAGATAGATAGATAGATAGATAGATAGATAGATAGATAGATAGATAGATAGATAGATAGATAGATAGATAGATAGATAGATAGATAGATAGATAGATAGATAGATAGATAGATAGATAGATAGATATAGATAGATAGATAGATAGATAGATAGATAGATAGATAGATAGATAGATAGATAGATAGATAGATAGATAGATAGATAGATAGATAGATAGATAGATAGATAGATAGATAGATAGATAGTCGCAATTTAAACCCATTATGTTGGTTTTGTCGTGACACGGCTCATTTCAATAATTGTAACTTGTAAATATCACAGAATTTACACCGATTCACAAAAAACTGTTTTATTATAGGTAAATTTAATTCTGTCGATATCTCGCCATAATTATAAATTGCAGAATAACATCATTAAAATCAATTAATAGAAATATGTATGTTCATTATTTGTGAAAATGTATCGATAATAAGAAGTGCAATTAAGTAATTGGCTGAAAATGTCATAAGAAATGTGAGTAACTGACTGAAAATTTAATAAGATACTAGATAGATAGATAGTTTATTCATATAAGACGTGTACAAAATGCACATGGTCACAAAATACATATTTTCAAATATAATTAAACATCACGTAATCATCAAAGTAAACATTATTTAGTAGCAAAGTGTCATACAATGATACAACCACATCTTTGGACTGTATTAACAAAAAGAAGTGCAAGCATTGCATTTATTTTTCATTGAAAAAATGCTGTACGGCTAGCCTAAACAGTGCATATATGCTAGTCATCTGTGACTCACAGCTAGAAATTTTGGCTAGCATTACGGGCCTGTACGACTGGCTACCTCCAATGTAAAAATACAATATATGTAACACTTCTCTCTCAATTTTAATTTTCTCTTCAGCTAAACTGGAGATATGCAGCTTTAATGTCTTAGAATACTCTACTTCACACATGACAGTAGGCTCATGTTAGTGAACTCAGTGATTTAAATATTCATAAAATCTTATTCATGTGCTAGAAAATAAAAATTCCAAGCATTACTCAACAGTTAAAAGGCAATTAAGTATTTAAAAAATTATCATTTAAGGTTTATGCACATACACCATCTAATTTGAACAATGATTGTAACTGCTTTTTTTCCTGTCATATTTACAGCAATGATTGACAGCAATGGTGGGGCTGTCAAAGTTAACAATTTCCTTGCCACCCTTGATCTTAAGCTGATAAGCCTAGAAAATCTAAAAGAAATGGAGAGAAGGGCTGGTGAAGTGATAGAAGCTGTCTCATCAGAATCACAGAGACGGTCAGCTGAAGAGGCTTACAAATAAAGAAATGGAGTATGTAATTAACTTGTTACCACAAAACCACAAAACATTTTTACATCTCTTTAATTGAGAATTAAGTACATGTATCTAAAAAATATTTATGCCATTTAAATAACAAGCCATTGTAGACTATTGTCAAAATTGTTTTACTCCTTAATACCAAAAATAATTTACCACTTCTGAGTGTATAAAATATATTTATAGTCTTTTCAATACATGTGCCATCATTCATGTTAAACATTTTCCACCACAGAGCTGCTGAGGTTTTAACATTTTCAAGGTTTATGTTATATACAGTGTCCACTATGTAACTTTCATATACATTAAAGTTTCAATTTTTATTTAAAAATATAAAATCACCATAGATGAACTATGTGTTGTGAACAAGACACAGGTTTCTTTGTCTCACTTAAAGGTCACTGCTGGGGTTCAAACTTTGTCAATTTTTATCACCACACTTAACATGTAATATAGGTGGTTTATAACTAGAATCCTTGGGGGGCATTTGTCACTTTCTGTGACAGCTCTTGTTTTTTTATGTTTGAAGGTGTGTTTATCATTTATTTGCATGCAGCACTAGATTCAGAAGCATTTTTCATCTGCAGAAAAAAATAAAATAAGACTCTCATTGTGATCATTATAATAAGTCTAAGTAATACACATGCTATACTTAATTTTGTATGGTAATAACTGTAAGATACAAGGTGCTAGATGTTTAAGTCATGGATAAGGATCTTAAAACCCTTCAGAACCTTATATTATTTGCAAGCTTTTCCTTTCACTTCCAAGCACTGTGTATAAAAGCTATCTATATAATATTGATGTGACAATTTTAGGTATTGGTCATACAGCAGACTCAGATATACAGACCTTTCCAGATGCAGTTTCTAAGGGAAAGTTCAAGTCAGTAAAGACAGAAAATCCTACATTTATAACATTTGATTTGGAAACTACAGATCTAAGTGAGTTGACATTTGCTTTCCTAAAACCAGATTTTGAATATAGAAAAGAGATAAAAGTTATATGTCACATTTCTAAACTGTGTAAAGTATTGAAATAATCAATTCCATTATTCCAATTTCATGCTAAATTTCTGGAGAGCAACAGTATGTAATCCTATAATTTATTTTCTAATGCATAAAGTAATTGTGCAGACAGGGTAACAGTTTTCACCATTACAATATGCTAGCCTATATGGGTACATCTTTTTGTCACTTTATAGTACAATATCAATATAATATTGCAGTTCGAGGTTCACAGATGCCAGATGCCACATATAACACAGATTGCAGCTAAAGAAATAAAGACTGCTGCTTCATTTAATCAATATTTTATTCCTCCAATGCCAATAGCAGTAGAACCTCAACGAATAACTGGCATAAAATTCACTGATGATAGTTATATGACAAATTCACTGATGATGGTTATATGACTGTATATTATCATAGTGAACATGTTAATAAATGTACATGAATCTTTAGATAATAAAATAAATAAATACAAGGGATGATCTTGGATTTGCATGTAAGATCAAAATGTATTTCATAAAGTTAACGTCAGATGCAACATTTTTATTAGTGGCATAGCCATGAGTTTTAGTATAAAAGCTAATGCTAATGAGTAGAATACACATACCCATTGATACTAGTATAATTTTATCTAACATGTGAAGTACCGGTAAACAAAATTTATCTTTATTCTGTGACTCTGTGACTGTTCAGTCATTTTATTGCTTTTTACATGATAAGGTCATTTAAATTTATTGTAAAATGGAAGTTTCGTCCGTTATGAGCAACCAGAACTGGATCGGGAACTTCCTGATGTAATCAAATCATGACATCATAATGTTCATGTTGAAAATGTTCGTGTTAAAAGTAAATCTATAACAGTATCAAGATTTTGAGAATGTGATGTATGCAAATTTATAATATACTAGTGCCAATGTTGTGACTTCATAAAAATGGTATTGTATGACTGCGCATATATTTAGATCTGATGTCATTTCTGTTATACAAACATAAAGACACCATAAATGTTAGAGTTACATTTAAGGCGCATCAATGGAGAATTATTTTATTTTATTTTAAACAGTCTTTATTTTGTGCATGTAATAATAGAATATAATAGAATATTATATTTATGTAGGTTCGTTACTGCATTGATTCAATTCGTTGAATGTAATAATAATTTGCTCGCCAGTACTAAATTCAGTATTGAACATTGAACACTCCTTCAATATCCTCTATATATCAGCTTTTGTGTTATTATGTTTTGATATTTTGGAAGTGAAATTATTTAAATATTATTTCAATATTTTACTGAGAGGATGCAATGAATTCAAGTAGTTTCTTGTGATGAAATAGTTATTCTTGTAATAAATTTCAATAATTTTCCTGTTAGATTTTGGAAGTTAAGCAATGAAATTTTTGAGAATGTGAACATGACAAATATTATAAAACAATATTTGAAGATTTCATTCTAATGACTGTACATTTAAATAATTATTAAGATAGCCTCTGTTTAGAAAAACACATAAATAATCATATTTTACAAAATCTGCTGTTTTCCAAGAGATAAGTAAGACAGGTAACAGCTATGCTGTACATTTTTGTTTCGGAAATTTTTTTACATCATTTTGTAAAACACAATTTTGTCAAAAAAGTAATGTGGAAAGAGGTCATGAAATTTCCATATTTTGATTGCTATGGAAGAGTAATAAAAGTTATAGAAGTAATTTGCTTGCCCCAATTCAAATATTAAAAAAAATAATAATAATAATTCTTATTTTATATATATTTTTATGTGTTTTTTTTAAGTTTCAGAAATCTTGGATGAGGTTTTAGTCAATTGGCTGAAATCAATACATTTTGTGAACAGTTTATTGTTATTTTGTTATCATAATATATGTCTTGAAACATAATAAACACTTACATTGTAGGTAAAAGCTGCAAACATTTTTTTTCATATATATTCCTTACCCCTACCCCCACTGTTTTGGGGGCAATTTAGTGGGAGGGGGTATTCACATAAAAATGCTTATAATTTGAAAACTTGATGGTAAATGTCTTTGAATAGTTGCAATTGAATAAGTTAAATAGAGTACTTTGATAAAATAATAAGCTTGATCAGGTTCCTAAATATACCCATTACAGGTATCTTACCTTAATGGCTTATATATATCAACTATTAGACTAATATATCAAATGTTAATTCTCATATCTTTATATGGTTTAAACATACTTATTTCCAATAGTATATATAATGTTAATATAAGACATAAACAAAAAAATATGTTAACATAATGGAAAAGGATGAACACGAATGACAAGACTAATATGAATATTCTCCTTTACCAAACTATACGATATGTCTGAAAAAAATACAAAGGAATAAGTATTATATGAAAAATATAGCGTGGATTTACATATTTTCATACAGGTATCTCAAATAAAATTAAAAAAATAAAATGTTATAAAACAAGAAACATAATAATGGGAAAATCTTAGAGGAGAAAAATGTATTAGCACTACCCTGGTATGAAAGAGAATGGTCACCATAGAGAAGTATATGAACGTTTATGTTGCATATTTGTAGGAGGGATTTAAGGACAGCAGCATACACACAACACTCAAAATAGATAAGTAGTTTTCAATTTGCAAATGACGACATAAAGGGGAATTTCAATTTACGCATTATATTTAATGACACTTTTACAAAAGTTATATCTTTATGAATTCAATATGTTGGTGTAATGTACAATCACCAAAAAATATGCCTATATGTTTATGTTCAGAAACCTCTGGAATTTGCTGGTTACACATACGTAATGAGAGAGGATGCTGATAATGCGCTTTCAGGTTACAAGTAGAAATTGCAATTATAATAGATGGAAGGTTACTTACAATTTGCTGTACATAAAGATATTCTTAAGTTTGATGGTAGACTTAAGAAGTGTTGCTGTGTGTTGTGATGTTCAACTTTTATTTAAAGACTGACACTACCAGCAGAAATAGTAGGGGACCTAATATAGATCCTTGAGGTTATTTATTTACTAGTACAACACTTTTTGTGAACATAATTAATTGTAAGTGTTTCAATCTGTGTACTGATAAAATACATTCGGTAAATATTGACTAATAAGTGTTAAAAGTGCCATAAACATTTGAATTGCATTCATTTTTATACTTAAATTCTTGTAAACAATATTTTTGAATGGTTCAAAGTTTGATTTCAAATAAAAGTTTAAAAAGAATAAAGAGATGTTCAGACATAACTATCCCATAGGTTATAATTTGAATCGCCTTTTTTGTGGAACTGTGCAGAAATCACCGAAAGTACAAAACTTACTTTACGTAATTTTGAAAATTTCAAAACAACTCATTAAGTAACCAGAATTGACGTGAGGTTGTATCTTTTAATCGAATTGTCAAAATCATCGCCACACTGGCACCAAAAATAATACAAAAACAATATTATGTTCATACTTAAACAGAAAATGGGTAAGTGTTGTTTCCAAAATGCCATTGCAAACTGTTATTTTATTTCAAACTTAACAAACGCAAAGCTTATTCTCTTGTCTTAATAAAACAACTTAAATACATCTTCCAAATTCGATTTCTCAGATCGCCATAAAATGAATAATTTTAATGTTCTCTCAAAGCTATTCTTTCAAGACGTAACTATTTTATCTTAATGATTTGTGTTTAATTTGTAAACAAAATACTTAAAAGGCAATAATGTTTCTAGACTTGGGGAATAAATGAACTAATCAGAGCTCAAGGTTGTCATTGACAAAACTTAGTATTTTCTCAAATAAGTATTTAAATAGTCTACTACTTTGGAGTTCTTCTTACATAATTTAAATGGTATTTTGTAACAAGAGGGCTCTTTGGTCCTTGATCGCTCACCTTAGGCATCGGTGTGTGCCTACATATAGAGTTTGTGAAGACGCACATATATAATTTCAACTGTGTAAAAGGTGATTTCAGTTTTACAAAGGTTTCCCCAAGATCTGATCGAGTGACTTATTTTCTAAACCTATATAACTAGTTCCGAATCTTCACTAGGTCTTGTTTAGATATATAAATATATATGACAAATAAATAAACATAACATTGCAAAAATGTATGTCACAATATTTTGTGGCCATTGTGTAAAACTGTAAAAGAATAACAAAGACTGCAAGTAAATGAACATTTTATATGAAGACTTGAAATTACACTGTTTAATTTAATACAGTCTGAATGACAAAAATATCTGAAAGATAAATCTGTTAAAGGAGCTATAAAAACAAGAAAAATGACAACGCCACGAAACCATTGATTGTTTCAAATTGGAAATTAAATACAAGCAACTATCGATATAACTTTATTCATTGAAACAGTAAAACAGAAGAATGGACGACAGACAGCACGGTGTTACGAAAATCGATAATTGAATAAACAAACGTTCAAACAGCAAGGGATTTATGCATCACTGTCCGTTTCTATGAGGAGATTAATGTTAACATTAATGTTAACAACAGCATTTATGTTGTACATTTGTGTATCATTACATACTTTGAGACACATTAATATGAATCAGTGAACTTGGCACACAACTTGTAATGATACACAACATAAAATAGAATAAAATATTGTAAAATTTATATAAAAAAACTTTTTTTAAAAATTCTTCTTTAGGGGTTAAAAATTTTTAAGGGGAAAAAATGAGCAAACATAATATGTTTTTACCAAAACCCCTTTAAATGAATGAATTATTCAAATTCAGATTTATTTTAAAACAGGTGACAAGGAAAGATAATTATACGTATGTTTTTAGAATAATTTGAAGTAACAAAGAAGGGCTTGTGTATAAACATATAACTACTTGATATGCTCAAAAGTCCTATCAAACAAGATGTTTTAAGTGATACATTATACATATTTAAATATTGCTTGCTTTCAAAATTGAATCTTTTAAGTGGTATAAACTGTACAATTCCATTGCTGTGTCATAAACGATATCAACATTACAACTGCAGCCTGTATCAAATACTTTACACAATTTATGATATCTCAAGATTACATTACAGCTTGATATTGTTAATGAAATCAATATATCTTTAAGTCATACAAAGGATAGTCATAGTTCAGAAACAATTATTTAAGTGAACTAGTGTTCAAAATCGTTTCTCTGTCAATGAAATCACTTCATTTTTTAAACAACATCACACATGCAAAGCAAATTTAGAAAATACCTGAGAGTTGTACTTAGCGAAACAAATGCCAACATTATAATTTAGAGGTTAACACTTGGTTGCTGCTCGCCATTATTCGATAATGGCCCGAAGATGTACAAAATGGCATAAGGGCTGCAGGCTCGTAGAACATTATGGATTCGAAGGAAATCATCGCAAATGTTGTGCAGCAATAACTATGAACGTCTTCAAAACCCATGCCGAAAATACGGGGTTCAGACATCTCCGCTAATTTTGATTGACACCCTTTCTAAGTAACAGACAGTTGCCAATGTAAACAAATATATGTCATTCAGAAGAAACCGATTAACTTAGAAAACATGATAGAACACACTAAAGATGAAGAAATTTTGTTTTTTAAGATCCTGAGATGCGACCGTAGATCTAAAAAATATATGATATACATGACTAAATGTCTTTATGCCTATGCAGCAGATCTACCGTCAATCCGAAGTCATTTCCAGAATTTCTGATAGTCACATTTTGACTTGGACACAGTTATTGGATTTTTTTCTTTAGTTTACAAATCTTCAATGTTAACCTTTCTTGATTGCGACTGATAATGTCATATAAACTTAAACTTTTGTGTGCAAGTGACTACAGTTCTTTCAACAATAGCAGCCATCTTGAAGGTCATTGAGGGTTGATTACGTTAGTCTGCACGCGCGCTCATTCACAAGCCAGTTTTGAAAAAATAATGCCGAGTAACAAGGCAGCCAAAATTGCATAATGACCTAGTTCTTGCCAAAATGGACTATAAATACCTAAAATGGTGTTACTTCATACAGTTACATAGGTATTAAAGAATGTTAAACAACATGTCTCCTGTATGCTAAAAACACGAAACAGCCAATTAAAATCACTTTTGTTTTGGTTTGCGCTATTACACTTTTATACCAATATTTTAATATTGATATTTTGTTCCATATACCAGGAGAGTGATCGACGGCCACTGTCTCTTGTTTATTATAATTATGATGATGAAGAAATGATGTATATTCTCTTGTTACGTTAATATTATCACTTTAAATAATTTACACTGAAAATGAGTTGTTTGCTTTATGAATGATATCTTTTCTTAATTATAACCTTTTAGGCTTAATGTGACAACGGGTGTTGTAAAGGCGCATCGTGCCTCAAAAATTCATATTAAATAAAATCTTATGTTTTACTTATAGAATCAATGCATGTTATATGATTAACAGCTGCAGAAAGTAGCGCTTAATGTACAGTAATGTGTCATAAACGTAGGGAAACGTTAACAAAGACTAGTTTGATGTCCATACAAAATGCTTATTCAGACAGTCCCATTTAAATAAAGTGCAAAAGAATCCTCGCCTAGTGTAAATATGTTTCATTGACATAACACACATTACCTTTTCAAGATGCATTACTGTAACACTAAATCATTCAACATTCAGCAGACACATATCCTATACCATTCTACAGGGAATAACATATAGACAAGTAACAACAGTTTAAATACACCATGCAATGCCTTTTCCTCATACAATGAACGACAAGCCTTCAAAAATAGATGAAGACTAATCCAAACAGACGAAATAGTTACATATGGCAGAGGGAAACATGGTCACAAATTAAAGATTAGATTAAATATATGTTTAATTTTGCCACAGTGCACACACATGGCAATATAAAACATGGAGGTAGACATAACAGAACACATTCATGGGCACACAATCCATGATCAGGGATAACACAAGAAAGGTAAACCCTTATTTCCACTGCGGTCCCTAATCTAATTGGTAATATAGAGGACGTCATTTTATTCTTAATATATCGTATAAATCTAATTTAAAATGGGATACATGAAAGCTTTTAAATTCACAATAAAAAACAATAAAAACAACAATAATAATAAAAAACAAATGGTGGAATTTTCTAATATG